TAATTTTATTATTATTTAGTTTTATTTATGTTTATATCAGCGCATAGAGGAAGATGATAGGCAAGATGCATAAAGGAAGATTCAGAAGCCTTGGCAGAGATACAGGTCTTGCTCACTGTCACCTCTCTGGATTCGACTCGGAAACTCTGCCTTATAATGCAAATCTATCTGCAATTTATGAACTGAAGCTCTAGTTTGAATAATATTTTTTGTACACAAATTATATTATGATTTAATAAGCCATCTTTGCCTTTTATGGCAAAAAAATGAATGACAGCTGTAATATTTTTTATTTGGCTCAAATCAGAACTACTAATAATTCAGTTCAATTCAACTCATTTGTTTACTCTCAGTGGAGTTGCAGATGGAGAACTACTCAGTGCTGTTCAGCAGATGTGACCATCAAAGTGTCAGAGTAGCACAGCAACATAACATTGACTGCTAATGTTACCGTAACATAACTTGTATTAACATCATCAATCAACCACTGCATATTGTTTCCATTGTATTATTGTACCATCAACCACTGCATATTGTTATTATACATATATATTACCTATTAGACAAATGTATTCAAAGATAAGTTAATACTTTTTATACATATATGATTAAATACAATAATTTTATTTAATCACATTTAATCATTAATATTAATTATATTTTATATACTAATACTTAGAAATAACATCAAGGAGATGCATAATTTATTTTCTTGTTTATTATTATTAAATATCTTCTGGGTTACAAAATTTCTAAGGCCTGAGAGGTGACAGTTATGGTATTATTTTCTCCATTATTATGTGGAACCAATTTACACGCTTTCCACGATAATTTACCGAACAATATGCAAAATTTACCACACAATATGCAAGAAACAGGACTTAACAGACCAGGCAAATTACACTCTCAAAACAAGAGAAAGATTAGCAGCTAAGCTCCTCTCATGCTGTCCTAATTTAAAAACCGTTTAACATCCCTGCACTTCTTCATGTGGGATGAAACGCATTGTAGAAGACAAACTACGCTGGCAATACTTTAAGAAGAAACTAAGTCATACATATAGTGATCCCCCTGGATACTTTAGTTAACATTATTCCAGTTATAGTTTGTGATAACTAGATGTATCTTGATGCCTATAGTAACCAGTTTAAATACCAGTCACAAGTACAGAATCCCGGCCCCGGTCCCTTTATTTATGGATCTTAATGTATTTATCTCTTATTAATGAACACTCTATCTATGAGAATTTGGATGAAAAATTAAAAAATAAGATAGATATATAAAAATTGAAATACTCTTTGTTAATAATCTTTTTAGGTTCAAAGGCATGTTTGTGCTCAGTGGAAGATAGTTTTCTGACAAAGGAACAATAAAATGATAAGTTAATCCCTCCCTTTTGAAAACTGCTTTTGAGTAGAGAAAAGGCATTTTTACATTGTTAAAAAGTAAGTTGTGGTACAATCAAAAGTATATTTTGCATTCACAGAATTGAGTATCTCCTTATTGTTACAATTCTCAGTAGCATTAAGAAAACCTGTAAGTAAGATATAAGGAAACCCAAGACCGAAAGAAAAGATGGTGAGATAACTGGACAAGATACCAGTGCACAGGGATCTCACAATGTAGAGTGCAAATTTCTATCATTCTTAGGACTGAGAAGCAAGAGAAGTGTAGTTTTGTACATGTTAGAATTATTTTTACATACGTTACTATCATAGCTTCAAAGAGGAAAAGATTAACATAAGAACAAAAAGTTGATATAATTAATGTAGCAGAAATTGAAAAGTTTAGTTTGAGAGATTTAGGGAAGATATTTGCAATAATTAAAAACCGAGTAAGTCATATGCCAAACAGAAGAAATAAAAATATTATAAATTACTAATTCAAATAAACCAACGGTTCTCAACCTTTCGACTAATGCGTATCATCTAAACAAAACTTGAAAATCTTCAGTACCACCACTACATTTTACAATGATTATTTTTTAGTTTCTCAATAGAAATGTTAATAAAAATATATTTGCATTTGTACAAACTACTGGCTTAATTTAGAAGTCAAACAAGAAAAATCAGCATTATATTTGCAAATTTTCACAGGACTAGTTTCGATGGTTTTACCGAACCATGATCCTCAGCTGTCAAAGTGCAAATAAGTTCGGTAAAACCATCAAAACTAGTCCTGTGAAAATTTGAAAATATAACCCCAATTTTTGTTGTTTGACTTCTAAATTAATAGTTGTTTGGCGTGTTATTTTACCTAAACCAACGGCTATTTGTATTAAATATGCACACATAAAAAATATCAGATTAAAAACTAGTTATCATTTTAATTATAAAAAAAATAAGTTATAATATTTTAATTCTAAAATTTAGTGTAAAATTTGGGACTGTTTAAGAGAGATAAATTTCTGGTCTTATTTCACTTAGTTTTAAACATATATCAGGATACTACTTTTAATTTTGTTCCGTATTTATTTTTCAAATAAAACATGGAAGAAAATTTGTTCACACAAATAGGTTGTGTGAAAAGGCAATAAAAATTTAATAGTTTATTTGAAATGTGTTTAAACTCTCCCCCCCTCAAGTTCCGCCAAATGCTAACAAGCATCCAAAAGAGTATTTATTTGAAATCTTCAGTTAGAGTTTGAGCACAGGAAATTACTATAAATTATACTTTTTCTTCACAACATAAAATTTCAGGTACATTTCAACAAAATGGATTTATAATCTAATTTTCTTTTTCATAATTCTTAGAAAAATACATGTTGAAATTATTTATCAATGACAACCAATGGTTTTTAATGTCAGATGCAAACTCTTCTTTTATTTTCAAAATATTTTGAGCTAGTAACAAAATTAACACTTTTTCCTTGTAATCTTAAATTTCATTCATTTAACTTTCCAAAAATCTCAGCTAAATATGCCAACCATAATTCATAAATAAACATTTTTGCAATTAAAATTTTGAATCACAGAGAAGAATTTGGATTTCTGATCAAAGTTCAAAAAGATGATTTGAAACTTTGCCTCTGGACAACCACCTTACTTCGAAATGTAACAAAAATGTTTCATGTTCACTGCCCATCGATTTGCATAAAATCACAAATATTCTTAAATTTAGAAGCTTTTAATAAAATTAAGAATTTTTACAGCTTGATTCAAAACGATTTTCAGATTTTCGGGGATTGTTTTGGCCAATAAAAGCTTCATGATGAATGGAGTAGTAAATTTAGTTTCAAGTGCGACCTTTCTTTATTTGAGAAATAACATCTGAATATTTTCCTGTTAAAGCCCGAGCTCCGTCACTGCATACAGCAATGCACTTATTCGAAGGAATATCTTTCTAAGACATAAAATTGTCAATTACTTTGAAAATTTCACTTACAGTAGCTCTATCACGAAGAGATTCACAAAATAAATACTCTTTGGCAATTCGTTTATCTTCTTTGAAACATATGTAAACTAATAATTGAACAAAGTTCTTTGCATCAGTACCTTTATCCAATTGCAATGCGAAATATTCATTGTGCTTTATTTTTCGAATATTGAATTGTCTCTCTTTTATCGAATTTGCCATTTCATGAATACTTAAACTTACTGTATCATTTGATAATGGAATATTATTAAGTTCATTAGCCACTTTTTCATTGAATGATGTTAAAATGATATCTTTAGCTGCTGGTAATAAAAGTTTTTTTCAATTGTGTGAGCTTGCCCAGTCTTGGCAACTATTTTATTTTGAAAAATCTAGGTTTGCTTTGTTATTTTTTCACAAATATTTAAATACACAATATATTGCGAGTTCTTCAAAAACAAAGGACAATATTATCAAATCGTAAAGAGAAAAAAGGAATACAAAACAATAAGAAAATTAAATATCTGCTGTTAAAGGTAGCAAATTAACATAAAAAATTATTCTAATTGAAACTAAATGAAACTGGAATATTTCATTGAATTTTGCCTAATAAACACTGCTTTAAAGGAAAAAAGTCCCCTTTTGGTAAAAGCTCCAAGAATGTCTTACTGTGCTACGTTGTTGTAGCGTGAGAGGAGAGTTTGAGCAACCACTTGTAATTAGAATGGCCAAAAGCAAAGCTGCTTCAAACACATCAGTCCAAAAGCTTACGTGATCCATTCACATCACAATAAAATTTCACGGATGGTGTACAGCATAATGTCAAAATGGTTGATTACTCTTGATAAAACAATGTCTAAGAAAAATAGTAAGATTTGGCTATTTCTTGACAATTCATCAGCCTACCCACCAAATTTAAAGCTCAAATCAATGGAATTAAGTACCTTTTCTACTTAATGCAACATCAGTATTACAGCGTTTGCACCAATGATGGAAATGGTGATCAGCTTGCAGAATGTGTCAATATATTTAATGCCATTTAGTGGATAACAAAAGTTGTTAAATTCATATCATAAAGTTGTGTTTAGCACTTTATTAAGAAAGCAAGCTTTAAAATTACAGTTTCGAGTGCCCTCAATGAAAATACTACTGATGAAAATGAATTCTTATAAAAATGACTTATATCCATGTGGAAAAAAATGCTTGCAGTTCACAGACTTTCAACGTATGTAACAGATTATTTTCAATAAATTTCTTTAAGGAAAAATATTGTTCATTTCACACATTTTTACAATACTTAAACCTTTTAATTAAGAATTTTAATTTTTCATTAACTTCGAATTGAAATAAATATCCGTGACTATGTTATTTACATATCATCTACTTAAAGCTTGATATAACCTGAATTTTTAATTAAATTACATTTCTTTAGCATGTACCTTCTGAAGAAGGAACACTTGTATTTAAGGGACAAGACATTTAAGGGTCTGGTGGGTGTCCCTTATTGGGAGGGTGTACTACTTAAATTTTTTGTAGATTTGGATCACTTCGATGTTTTCTATATCATTAAAGGGAGGTAATGTAAAAAGAAAAATATTACATAAAAAATTAGATCATTATTTTCATAATTAAATAATAAAATTTACCTCAGATTTCTCCATCTTTTACAAACTTGTGAGCATTTTACCAAAATTGTCTTTGGTAACCATTTAAATATATGCAAAATGATTTCATCAGATAATTTTGCAAATGGATCTGCCGATACAGAAAACAAATTAACAATACAGAAAATATATAGAAAAGCAAAACATTTTAACATAAATGAAAATAAAATTTATATGACTACCTGATGCATACATATTATCCTATCGACTGTCAACTGTCACAAAGCAATGCAATTTAGGATATTAATCAGTCTTATCATAAATCAGCTGATTTATGTCATCAATTTAAAGTAAGCCCGATTGATTCTCAGTCAGACTTATCTGAAATTGTTTTTATGAACAAGCATGTAAATTAATCGCTATTGTTGTATTTATTTCTTGAATTTTGAAAATCATTAGTCCGGAGTTTGTAGATCATATTTGTGATTGCACTCTAGTTCATTTACAGCTGATCAACGGAATTAATATCTGTTGAATGGGAAAAAGAACAGCTGGATATGGATAACAAAGCAGAAATCATTCGGAACAATCATCTACAGAAAGTTTGTAATCATAGCATTCTAAACAGAGCTTCTGATTAAATGAAAATGCCTATCAAAACAGCAAAAATCGAAAACCATTTTACATATTAGGTCGAATATTTCCACAACAGTAGCAATTTAGTAGATTGTGCAGAGAGACAAATGTTATTGAAACAGCTGCAGATAGAAATGTGGCTCAGCATTCTACAAGAATGGGATCTCTGCTAACTTTTTTGGTGCGATGATAGCCAATTTGCATGGTCAGTGGAATAATACATAAGTACCTGTGATGAAGATTAAAATGTAAACATCATGTAATTTAATTTTACTTTTTAATGTATTATTTTCAACAAACTCATACTGAAATAAAAAAAAAAAAAATGTTATATTACAAACACACTTAATTATTAAAATATTATCTCTTGTTAATCATTCAAAAATTTATTTATATGTGTTTACATGCATTATTACAATTTATTTCTCAGGAAAATGAAAGTGCAAATTTATTTACAAAAAGTTGTTAAAAAATTAAAATGCAAATAGTGGCATAAAAATAACATTATTAATTCTTATCACAAAGTTGTCAATTTATATGCATAATATCTACCATACACAAAATATATACATATAATTTATGTTATAAATATATACACGCATATATATTATACATATTTATTATATTTATTTATACATATATATGACTCCCACACAAAGAAAGATATGATACTCATTATAAATCTAGTAATTTTAAAGTAGGTGATTTAGTAATGTACGAAGAATTTCAATATCCTAATACTCGTAAACTTTCTCCTCCTTTTTCAGATCCTTACAAAATTTTAAAACAATATTATGACGTTACTTTTGAAATAGATAAACCCAATTCTCTAACCAAAAAGAAATCAGAAATTGTTCGTTCAACCAGACTTAAACCTTTTAATCCAGCAAGGTGAATTTAAATTAACAATTAGAAATAGTAAAATTCTTGTCTCTGTCAAAAATTAATTCATTTTAGTTTTCAAAATTCTGAATTAAAAATTTTGTTTTCCCGATTATGACATTTAAAACCTGATCTAGACTTTAAACCCTAACTGTGACAAATTATTTTTTCCGATCTTGACCTTTCCTAATCTGGCTCTTTTTCTTCTTCCCAGAGTTTTTCCATTCAAAATTTGTTGTGTATGTCCCCCACAGCCCAGAAGATGAGGAGAGGAAAAACTCTACCAACACATTTTGAAAATATGGATTCAATACCAGATTTTTCATTCAAAGACAAATGATTCCCCCCCCGACACTAGTTTTTACATTATGTGTATTACTCCTTGTATCTTCTCTTTAGGGAGAATACAAGAAGTGATAGCAGACATCCACTGTCCACCTAGGGATACTCCTAACATCATATTAAAATTATTTCTTCTTTTTTTGTTAGGAGATTCAACTATGGCCATGATATTGACTCTGGTTTTTCTGACACTGGTTTTTCTTTTTTTTTTCTTTCCCCCCCCCTCCTTTTTAACCAGTCACGATACTCTAAACATAGTTTGACAAAGAAGTGCTACCCCCACACACACACACGCATTAATTTTTTTTAAAAAATTTTCTCTTTCTTTCTTCTTAGTGTAGGGCAGGGTTTCTTAAACATTTTTCATTCGCAACCCCTAGGAGCCCATAATATTTACAAAAATTTTGTGGGACCCCATAAGTATTGAGCAAATCCGACACACACATGATTGAAACTGTCAATCTTTTCACTTGTACCATAATATACTATTGCAGTTTTAGGTCATTAACTTTAATTTCTAATTTTAAGACATAGAACAATGTGAAAATTTTAAATACGTAACAGATGAAATGACAATGTCACGTGCAAAGCAAGAAACATGAACGTTTATATTATAAAAAGAATGCGTCGAAATGTTTTCGTTTTTTTTTCTTTGTCTGTATTGTCTTATCTTTATCTACTTTCAGATATATTATGTAAAAATATTTGATATTTGTAAAATTATTATAATAAGTTAAAGAAATATCAAAACTGCTAAAATTTTTGGCGATCCCATTATTTAATGACATTTTTGCAAAATAAAAAAAAGACTTTACCTTGAATTTCAGTTTTAATTTTATATGATGTTGTATTTTTATTAAGTAATATGAAAGATTTTTTAAAGAAAACAAACTTTGACAACTGTACAATGCCAAAAACCAGCTACCTTGTTCAAGGAATGGAGGTTTTTCTGGCCTATTGTAGTTAAGCATACCGCCAACCACCAGCAAGTTAGTACGCTGATTTTGTTGGAGAGGACATGCCAAATTAATTGTCAAAGTGTTAGTGTATTATTTAGTATTGCATCATATTATTATGTTTTTATATTGAATTTCTGTTGTATTAAGTATGTGTATCTACAGCAAGAAAATTTTATTTAATTAATTCTAGAGATGAAGATTATATTTCACTGAACATGAGTTTAACTAAATATGAAAATTATATTTTTCTGAATATGAAAGTAAATGAAAGTTCACAATTTAATATATACTATAATGGAAATGTGTTCATCAGCAAAAATTTGAGAGATTTTTAGTGAACATTTACTTTATGAAAAACATGTGAACATTTACTTTGGAAGACTTTTCGTGAATTTTGAACATTTACCTTGTGCAATTATTGCAGTTAACAGAATTTACAAACGTTTCATTCAACATTCAAAAAGACATAGGACTTTTTTTTTTTTTTTTTCAAAAAGGACTAAAGGACTTTTAAAATTATATTTGTTTTAATTTTTGTCTTAATTTATTAGTTTATTTAGAAATTATATTGTTACTGCAATAATTGTAAATTAGTTGTTTAAGTTTTACTTAATCTATGTATGAGAAAGGTCATGAACAATGCCAGAGCATAGACAAACCTAGCGGCTATGTCCTTGATGCTTCTTCATGTCTTTCCTCATATACTAAACTCTCTCTTGTTTCACTCATCCTTTTCTGGCACCCTGCTTCCCCGACGTTTCTTTTCAAGGGGGAGGAATATATAAGATATAACAAAATATGATAGCTGCTTTAAAAAATAATTGCCGATTTCAAAATTAACATTGTAGATTTGGTGCTCTCTCCCTTATTTCATTTGTTCTCCCAAATTCAAGATTTTTCTCTATGTTACGTAACGCTGCTTGAAAATCGCATCTACTCTGGTATAAATACTTCTGGCAGCTAATTATGTCATTCTTTTCCTAGCTTCTGCCACTGCTAAAATATCCCCACTGCTCTGCTTCTCCATCTAAAATGCTTGCGTAGTAATTTTAAGAGCCAATGTACACAGCAGTCTATCATATTTCATTAAGATTGAACCATAGAAATGTCTTGGATTTCATTATGATCAGATAAATATATATGGAGATGATTTTATATGTATGGAAATAAAGACTGGCAATTTGTCAAGTTCATGTTTTGTTATCTTCATCTGTAAGCCTCCACCCTCAGCCACAACAAAAACTGCAAGCTGATTCCTATTCTGTGCTTCTGGAATTATATATATATATATTAAATATATTATACATATATATATATATATATATAAGAGCCCACCAGCGGCCGAGCGGTAAAGTCGCTGAACACTGGTAGTTCGGTCTGAGGTTCGAATCCCGCGAATGGGCTGGCTGCATGGGCGTTTTCGTGGTTTTCCCCATGTGTAATGTGTATACGGGCCAGTTTCCCTTAGAAAGTCCTCCACGAAGGCATCCCTCCCCTTAGGCAGATAGCCCTCGAGGCTTTGCCATATTCACACACACACATATATATATAAGACTCCCATACAAGAGTCTTACTTGTCTTTACATCTATAATTTTTTCACTACACCTTTTCCTTAGAGATGGTATAATCAGGATTACTTTCATGAATTTATTCAAACTATATATATATAAACTATATAAACTAAAATTAGAATTTAATTATTATCTCCTAGGAACAGTATTTCAATATTATTGTAACTTCAAGTATATTAAATTACTATGAAACTTAACTAATTTAGAAGTCTGAGATATAAAATTTATATTGGGCTGATGAATAGTAACCATTAAAAATGATATTGAAGTTTACTTGAATATATGTATGATACATTATAAAATTATACAAATGAAACAAATGTTATTTTTTTTACAATAGAAATAAAATGTAAATATCAAAATTTAAATATTGTTTATTTACCAAAGGAGAATTGACTTTTAAAGGGAATTTTTTTTTCTTTAGATGCACAATAATTTAGGGATTATCATATTTCGTTACAGTTGATTCTTGAATACAAATTAATAAATTACTTTTGCTATACACAAAACCAGAGAAATATATAAATAAATATAGTGAAAATTTAAATATGTATTCAATGATGACTGGTTTCCCTGATGCAATAATGGGACATATTCACAATAGTGTAGAAAAGGGGAAAAAATTAAGACTAAAAAAGACAATGTAAAATAAAATAAGCAATGCAATAAAATATATGCAAGAACCTATGCACAATGGAATTAGACATTTAGTTAATATGAAAAATTAAAAAAAAAAAAAAAAAAATGCAACTAAATACAA